ATCAGGGAAATCCCCAAACCATGCAGCCAGCTGGGGCCATCCAGTGCCCCTCCACTGTGCCCCTCCACCGTCCTGACCCCCCATCCCTGGCACCGTTCATTCTGCCTGTCTGGCATAGGCCTCCAGCGCTTTTCCCAAGGGAGGACCACCTCCCCATCCTTAGACTTTCAAGAAAGCGCTACGGGGGTGCCCCTCTGGCCCTGCTGGGGGCGGGACCCTCCAAGCTCAGGACGGTGGCCAGGGCGGACAGAAGAGGAGGAGCTGGGGGCGCCGCTCTCCTAGGAGCGGGTGGGGCAAACGCTGTGGGATGAACGTGCGCTGGCTTCGGGAAGGACCGGGAACAGATCCGAGAGGCTCGGGGTGTCTAGTGTCGGCCCCGCCCTGCGCCCCCCGCCCCCCTCCTGCCGCGCTCGCCCCGCCTACCAGCCCGCGCCCTGAGCCCCGAGCTCGGAACCCGGAGAGAGCGCAGCGCGGGCACTTGGCTCCCGCCGCTGGGTGAGTGCCGCGCGCCCCTGCCCTCCGCTGTCGCATTGGCCGCGCAGCTCCCGGTTATCCCCTGGGGGGGTCTTAACTACCCTGCGCTAAGCCCCGCGCGGCCCCGGCCGGAGGCGCCCCCTGTTCCCCCGGCGCTTTCCCTGCTTTCCCCTGGGGCTCACCTGCCACCGGCCCCGGGGGCCTCCCCTGCCCTTCCGTCTGCTCCCCATTCTGGGTCGCTGCGTCCCCTCCGGCTCCGTGGCTGCCCTCACCTTTGCTGCACCGGGTGCACCCGGGTCAGGGCCGAAGCAGCAGGGAGACTGGGACCACCGCTCTGCCCGCCGCGCCTCTGCCGGCCCGACCTCCTCGCGGTGGGCGCCGCCGCTGGGCTCTCCCCGAGGCTTGCGGAGGGTGGGCGGCGCGCCTGGGGTGGGTTTGTTCCTTCCGAGACTGCGGCTTGGCGGGGTAGTGGAGTGGGAAGCGGAAGCGGAGGGAGAGCGAGGCGCGGGGCGCACGGGGAAGCGGGTCCGAGGGCGCGTGCGTGGGGTGGGGGGCGGCTGGGGCACCGGCCAGTTGAGGTGGGGTCCGCCGGGGCGCACCGGGGGAGGCGGGCGGCGAGCTGTGAGACGGCGGCGGAAGAGCAGGCCCAGCTTCTGGGGGTCCCGGGAGCGGAGCCCCCGCATCTCCCGGGCCGGCAGCAGGGCCCTGGAGCCCTCCTAGTCCTTCCCCAGAAGGGAGCGCACGCCCTGAAAGTTCGCCCGCGCGCTGTCTCCTCACCCGGGGTCCAGGCGGGGCCCTCGCCGCCCACCTGCCTGGAACACTGTCCCAGGCCTGCAAGCTGACCTGGGGTCCTGAGGAAGGGCGAGGGGTGGGAGCCCCAGCAGGCCAGAGAGTGAGACCGGTCTGCAGGGAACAGTTTCCTGGGCAGGGGGGCCGGGGAGCCTCCAGTGCGGTGGCGATTGACAGCGTCAACGACAATGACCCTCCATGGGTTCCTGGTAAAATGACCCAGATTTCCCAGAAAGTGTACTGGAGACGGAGCAGGGCCTTGGAAACACCTTGCAGGGCTGGGCTCCCCGCCGGGAATGAGGAGGGGCTGTGCTGGCCAGCCTCCTCTTTGCTGCTCCAAGCCAGCCCACGCCCACATCCCCATCCAAGCCGGGCTCCCCAGGGGAAGGGACACCACTCTGACCAGATCTGCCGTAAGGCCCTTGGGGCGTGTGTCAGGGAGGGATGGGTGGTTGCCACTGGGGGCAGGCCTGAGCCAGGCCCCCCCCATGGGGGAGGCAGGCCTGGATGTGGGGGCGTTGGACCATGCCCAGGGTTTGCCCCTGCCCTGCACAGGTGGGGGTAGCTCCAGGTGAGATGCGACCCCAGGGGCACTGAGCCACTCCGGGCTGTTGCTGCCCCTGAGTGGACAATGCAGGCCTGCCAGCCTCCTGTGGGGCCAGTCTGGAAGAGGCTGGGCCCCATCCCCATCCCCAAACCCCTGGGAAGCCTCCAGCACCCTTCTCCTTGGAGCCCAGGGCAGGCCCCTTTTCTGACGCTGGGGAGATGCTGGGCTCTTTGGGGGCAGGCAGGTGGGGGCCATCACTTGGCGCTCACTGTGGTCGGCACTGCCCACGGCAGCTTGCACACCCGGGCTTTATTTCACGTGACCCGTGACACTGCACCCACCAGGGCTCAGAGCAGTGGGCTGGGGTGTGGGGCGGGCGGGCGGGGGGTTCTTCTCCCTGGGCTGTTGGTGGGGACCTCTTGGCCGGAGTGCCCCAGGGCAGGCCCATGGCTGATTCCACATCCCCTCCCCCCACTAAGTCCCCTGCTGCGGGAGGAAGGGCCCCAGGGACAATTTTCCACGAGTGTAATTTCTGTGACTAACAAGATTGCCGCTTCTGAATAATGGCTCCTGTAGAATTATGTTCCCAGAGGCCGGCGTGCCCATAGCGGCCTAATTTTGTTCTTTACTGCTGTGCAGTCTGAGGGGTTGGGGGGCTTGGGGGGTTGGCAGCACGCCTAGGAGCGGGTCTCAGAGGAGCCCTGAGCAGCCTTTTTAGGGTCAAACTCATGTTCAGCTGCCATGTGCCAGGGACGCGGGCCCCGCGCCAGGGACACATCTGAGCTCACAGCCGCCCCTCCCTCCACGGGTGAACCGAACACCTTTGGGGGCTGCTGCTTCTCCCCCACCCAGCACCCTGGGGTCCTACGCGGCATGAGCTGAAAGCCCCTTCTTGAGTATTTTTTTCCCCAAATGTGAGCAGGGTCCTGGGGCACAGAGACGAGCAGGTTGATCGCCACCTGTGGGAGCAAGCCTGCCGCCGGCCCCCCGAACCCAGGAACGCCACTTCCACCCAAGGGAGCCCTGGCTTTGTCTGGAAATGCAGCTGTCCCCAGAGATCGCACCTTGCCCTGTTTGAGTTACGGCCCCTCGCCTCGCCTCTGGTCACCACGTCATGCCGGGGCGCTCAGCACCGGGAGCGGCAAACCCAGCCCGACGTGCGCAGCGTCTCTTCCCCCTGCTGGTGAGCCCCCTCCGGGTGGGGACCCCAGCATGACCGCATCTCTCCCCAGTGCTTGGCGTCCAGAAACCACTGGTTTTTCTGGTCCTGATCCAAGTTCTGCCTGGGTTCCTGTCCTGTTTCACGGCTGGCATTCTCTAGGATTTTCTCTGCACCCTTGACGTTGTGTAGGTGGACCCTGATGCTATTTTATCTGTGTTCATCCCTGGGGCTGCTTTGAGGATCCCTCGGCGCCTGCAGCTGCCCGTACCCGCTCGTCAGCCTGCCGCGCTCCCAGGGGGTCCACTCAGCCCTGCTCCCATTCCCCGATTCTCTCTTCAGCTATATCCAGACCTGAGCAGATTCTGACTTTTGTGATTTTTTTTTTTTAAGGCCAAATGATTTTTTACACCCAAGAGTTGTAACTTTCAAAAATACACACTTGTTCATTTTACTTCTCAGACAGGAGCCAAATTTGTATCATAATATTTTTATCCATGCCTTACTGAGGATCCTACACATACTTATTTAAATAGATCTTAAACCTAGTACTTTTATTCCATCAGAAATGAAGCCGCTGACCCATCTCCCCACCGCTGGCTTTCTGGGGCGCGCGTCCTAGCGGCGGTGAGCTGAGTGAACTCGGAGGTGTGAGTGTGTCTGCCCAGCGGGGGCTGAGGGTTTCTTTCTGACTCGGTCACTGGGCTTTATTCTGGGCTCCCCAGCTTGTCTCGTGGGTCTGGACACCAGCCAAGCAGGGGTCTGGGGTGCCTCTGGGCCTGAGTAGCCCTGGCTGGGGCCCCCAGGGCTGCTGGGGTTCCCGGCTGGCCCCTGCCCCCTGGGTGACATGGCCTGTTGGGGTGTTGGGTGCCTACGTCCCCTCCCCTCTCCCTCCTGTCGGTGGAGATGCTTACCTTCTCCCGAGCACCGTCGCTTTCATGAACCTCCTCAAACATACAGGAAAGTACAAAAACTGTAAGGACACGTGTGCCCATGACCTTGAACAGAGGAATTTCAGTTTTCTGCTCTTTCTCTGCAAAACCCCACATACACCGCGTCCCAGTGGCTGGCGCCCACTTACACAGGAGCATTTCCTCCTGGTCTGAGGCACGGGCTGGGGTTCTCTGTGCGTTCTCTGTGTTCGCTGGCTTACGGCACACGTGGAGGACCTCGTCTGCCCGTTCCCACTCTGCGCCCTCTGCCTGGGGCTTGAGAGACGCCGCCATCCGTGGCTGTGGAGTTGATCGCCTGGAGTGTGTCTCTCGCCTCTCTGATGACGGCCCCCTGGAGCGGTTTCCTGCATTGTCTCCTCAGCCTGAGACAGGCTGCCGCGGGGGCAGCTCTGGGGGAACCGACTCCTCAGGCCGGTCTGCGGGCTCTGCGGGGGCTCTCAAGGGGACAGCGCTCCTGAGAGCCTGGTGGACGCTGCCAGAGCCTCTGCAGCCCGGGGTCTGGCTCCTTGGCCGTGTGGAAGACCTGGCACCCTCCCGAGGGCTCTGGGAGGCCACCCGGGAGAGGGGGGCCCAGCAGGTGTAACTGTGCCTCCAGCCGGCATTGCCTGGGCGTGGGGGCCGTGTGCCAGGCCGTGGTCCTGGTCTTCCCATCACTGCCCAGTCCTTCACCTGTCCTGTGCCATCCGCTGTCCTTGCTGGCGAGATGGGGGCCGTGAGGCCATCCCCAGGCCCCTGAGCCCCGAGGGGACGAGGGAGGCGGAGGCTGCCCATCGGGCTGTCCTGGGGCAGGTGGGGCTGTCGGGATGCCGTGGGGTGGGGGGAGCACAGATGACACAGTACCGGCTCTCTGCTCCTTCCTCCCCGGGTTGGTTTTCCAAACAATTTGCTTAATGGGACTCCCGCCTGAGCTGGACACGAGTAACAATGTTTACTCACCTCAGGGTGATCCCGCGCCTCCCAGGCAGGCGGGGCCCCGGGGAGGAAGCACCCTGGGCCGTAACCGCTCTGCCGCCCTCCTTTTCTCCACAGAGAGGACGCACCGCGCTCGCGCTCACCCTGCCGGCCCGCGGTGGCCGCCATGGAGCCTCTGTTCCCGGCCCCCACGCCGGTCAGCTGGAGCCCCTCCCCAGCGGTCACCAGCGCAGCTGGCGAGAACGGGACGCTGGCGGGGCCGTCGCCGTCGCCGGGGGCCCGCGCGGTGGTGGTGCCTGTGCTGTACCTGCTGGTGTGCGCGGCGGGGCTGGGCGGGAACACCCTGGTCATCTACGTGGTGCTGCGCCACGCCAAGATGAAGACAGTCACCAACATCTACATCCTGAACCTGGCCGTGGCTGATGTGCTGCTCATGCTGGGGCTGCCCTTCCTGGCCACGCAGAACGCCGTGTCCTACTGGCCCTTCGGCCCCGTCCTGTGCCGGCTGGTCATGACGCTGGACGGCATCAACCAGTTCACCAGCATCTTCTGCCTGACCGTCATGAGCGTGGACCGCTACCTGGCCATCGTGCACCCCATCCGCTCCGCCCGCTGGCGCCGTCCCCGGGTGGCCAAGCTGGCCAGCGCCGCGGTCTGGGCCTTCTCGCTGCTCATGTCCCTGCCGCTGGTGGTGTTCGCGGACATCCAGGAGGGCTGGGACACCTGTAACCTCAGCTGGCCGGAGCCCGTGGGCCTGTGGGGCGCCGTGTTCATCATCTACACGTCGGTGCTGGGCTTCTTCGGGCCCCTGCTGGTCATCTGCCTGTGCTACCTGCTCATCGTGGTCAAGGTGAAGGCGTCGGGCGTGCGCGTGGGCGCCCCACGGCGGCGCTCGGAGCGCAAGGTGACCCGCATGGTGGTGGTGGTGGTGCTGGTATTCGTGGGCTGCTGGCTGCCCTTCTTCGTGGTCAACATCGTCAACCTGGCCTTTGTCCTGCCCGAGGAGCCCGTCGCCGCAGGCGCCTACTTCTTCGTGGTCGTCCTGTCCTACGCCAATAGCTGTGCCAACCCCGTGCTCTATGGCTTCCTCTCCGACAACTTCCGCCAGAGCTTCCGGAAGGTTCTGTGCCTCCGCAAGGGCTCCGGTGCCGAGGACGCCGATGCCATGGAGCCCCAGCCCGACAAGAGCGGCCGGCTGCAGGAGGCCACACCGCCCGCGTGCGGCTCCGAAGCCAATGGGCTCATGCAGACCAGCCGGCTGTGAGGGCCGCAGGTGGGGGAGGGGGGCGCCCCGCGGCGTCTGGATTCCCTGCCAGGCAGAGCCTTCCCCCAGTATTTGAGCCACCCCCTGCGATGGCCTGATGCTCTACCAGGGCCGAGGCCGTGGTGGGTCCCGCAGTGGGGTTCGGGGATGCGAGGGAGTGGGCGGGAGAGGCCGGGTGACCTGGGCCGTGCTTGCGACATCTTGACCTTCTCTGTCCCCGGCCGGTGCTGCTCTGCCAGGTCGGGGCATGACCCCCCGTGTGAGCTGGGGACCACTTGCCTCCGCCCTCTGGTCCCCCGTGTCTCCTCACATAGCCCTGCACCGGCTGGCCGCGTCGAGTGTGAGTCTGAAATTAAAGACACGTGGATGCACTGGGCTCCCCAGGACCTGTGACCGCTGACTCTGGGGGTGGCAGATCAAGGGGGCAAAGCCGGGCACGGCTGGCAGGGCGGCAAAGGGGGGCTGGGACCCCAGGTGGGACGTCTGGGGCTGCAAAGCTCTGTTGCTGTGGAGAACCCCCACTGCCTACTCCCTGCCACTGGCTGGCCACAGTCACGGTCGGTTCCACGGTGAGAGGGGGTTGGGGGAGCGGCTAGCAAAGTGGCTGAATGGGGGGTGGAGAGTTGGCCCTCCAGGCTTCTGGGTCCTAGGGCATCGGAGAGGCCATCCTGGGGAGGGGACAGGCACCCACAGCCACCTCTCCTCCTCTGTCAGGGACTCTGGACTGGAGAGTGTGGGGGACAGGAGCTGATGAGGAGAACTAGCGAGACAGCAGTGGGGGGAGCAGCCCCCATCACAAGCAGCAGCCACTGGGAAGGATCTCTGTGTGGGAGCCTGCAAATGCTGGCCAATGCCAGGCCCCGAGGAATTCTGCAGCGTCCAGATGAGAGCAGCCCCATCCACCCCCGGGGAGCGCCACCCGCCCACCGTCCCCAGCCCACGATGGGGTCCCGGAGAAGATGCCAGCTGGGGACTTTCTGGGATCCCATGTGCCTTGGGCCTTGGCCAAGGCTGGAGAAGGACCAGAACGTGGGGCTCACTGGGTCCACATGTTCCCAGCCCGGTCTGGATAGCCGTGCCTGGTGCCACCCCTCCCAGGCTCACTGGGTCTGCCCGGGGCAGGACCTCCAGCCCGCAGGAGAGGACAGGGAGCAGGTGCAAGCCGCCCAGGGGAAAGGCTCGGTCCGCGTGGCCTGGGCCGCACCGACCCTGGACAGAGGCCAAGGCCTGGAAACATGATAGCGTAACGAGGCCGCTTGTGTTTGACAACCTGATCTCCCGAATAAATTAGAGAATAAAGGTTTGACTCCTTCCCAAAGCAAATATTGTCCCTGGGGCCGATCGAAGCTGGTGCGGCTCAGAGCGCGTGGACCGAGGAGGCTGGGAGGGGGCAGGCAACCGCCTGCTGGATGTGGGAGCTGGGACGCTGTGGCGAGGACAGCGGTGGCGCCCGCAAGCGGGGTCTGAAGAAGAGCAGGTGTCCCCCACGGGCCGGCCTGGGGGGTGGCATCGGGCTTTGGTCTCAAAAGACGTGGGTGGGGGGCGTCTGATCCTTCCAGGGCCCGTGGACGAGGACAGCAGGAGGCTCGTTGGGGGCCGGAGCCCCAGGCGTGTGGGGGCCGGCTGACTTCACTGCTTTGTTCCTGGGAGGGCTGGGGTGGCTCCCCCACAGGTGGGGCCTCAGAGCCTAGCTGATGACCAGACCCACCCCTCCCCACACCACGGTCCAGCATCCCAGGGAGGGAGGGCGCCCTGGGAGAAACTGAGGCCAAGTGCATTGGCTCAGAGTGACTTCGGGGAGTGAGCGCAGATGGCTTGGAGATCTCTGCCCAGATTGATTTCTCCCAACTGATTTGACATTATGAGCTGCCTCCTCGGGGCCACGCCAGCCCAGAGCGCCCGCGCACCCCTGTGCGCGCACCCACGCGTGGGCAACGGACACTGGCAGTGCCCCAGCTGGATCCTGACGCACGGGGGGTGGGTGTGAGCGTGTGTGTGTGTGTGTGAGCATGTGTGTGTGTCTGTGAGCGTGCATGAGCATGTGTGCACGGGATGTCCCTGGAGATCCCAGGCAGCCTGGGGACCCTGGCTCGGGGTGGTTGCTGGGAACTAGGCTCGGCCAGAGTGGACAGTCCCTGAAGCCTTGGGTGAGGGTGGGGCCCTGAGCAGGACACAGGAGGACCCAGACACCCCCGAAAACCTGGTGGGAGGTGGGGGTGGGCTCAGGAGGCCAGGGACACGGCCCTCCCACACCCGGCACGGGCTGGGGCCACCACGCTGCTGGAAGCCCCGCGTCCCCAGGCCCTGAGCGGGGGCAGGGCAGCACAGAGCAAACGGGCTTTGGAGGGGGGTGACCTGCTTTATGGGCTCTCTCTCCGCGTCGATGAGTTTTATTGGCCACCGGGCTCCAGTGGCTCCCAGAGTGACCTCGCTCAGGAAATCCGGCCTGCAGGGGCAGGGCCAGGCTGCCTCCAGGACCGGAGGGCAGACGCAGGAGGGGTCTGTTTGCCTGGCAGGGCGGGGCAGGGGATGAGAGGCATCCCCACAGTCAGGGAAACCGAGGCTGGCCCCAGGGCTCTGGCGGGCAGCAGCTCCTCCCTGGCCCGTCCCTAGCAGCAGGATCCATGTTGGGGTGCCCTGGGTGGGGCCAGGAAGGGCCCAGCCCCCCCAGGTGTCCCGAGGCAAGAGGGTGAGCAGAGAGCAGGTGGCACCAAGAAGGACTTCCCACGGAACCTGGGAGAGCTGTGGTGTGCTTTCGGGGTGTGTCAGGGAGACGGATGTGAGGACTGGGTCTGCGCTGGTCCCTTCTGGGTATCTGCATAGCTCGGATGTCAAGGGCAGGGGACCTGGGAGACAGCTGGGCCTGGGGGTGACCTCCATCCCGGACACTTCCATGTCCCCTCCCTGCGGCCAAGCACACTGTCCTATCCAGGCTGGTGCCATCTGGGGTCCTGAAGGGTGTGTATTGAATGACCAAGAGGACATTGAATGACAGGGGCTCTGGTTAGGTTGGGGCATACCCACAGGTCCCCCTCCCTGCCCCTGCCTCCCCTAGGGCTCTCACTCCCTCCAGGCCTGCCCTGTCCCCCCTCCTCAGGCTGCGTAGCCGCAGACGGCCCTGACTGCTATGCGTTGGGTGCAGGGGCACCGTCCGGCACTGGGGGAGTCCCCACAAAGGGCAGGAAGGGGCTCTGGCCCTCGACAAGCCCATCTCTTCCCCCACATTTGCACTTACACCAGTGTCCATCGCCCAGCCCACAGCCCCCTGGTGTGGGGAGGGGCAGGTGTGCCCTGGGGAGGGAGAAGCACACAGGTCCTCCTGCCAAGGGCTCCATTGCTGGTTCTCCAGTGGGAGGAAACTGATCACAGGACAGTGGGGACCAGCCATGCTCTCTCCTGCTCAGCACCTGGCTGTGGCCCTCTCTCCCCACACGTAGCCCAGGCACAGCCCATCCGCAGGGAACAGGCAGTCCCCCCACTGGGTAGTGTGAGAAGGCTTTAATTAACAGATGTTTTGCAGGGCTGGGCAGTGAAGTTCCCTGACCTGACAGGTGCAGGGGTGGGGTTCTGAGAGCAAGGAGGAGCCCCCCTTCAGCCCAGGGCAGCAGCCATCCTGAGAGCTGAGACTGTGTGCCCGACCCCACCCCCTGCCTCCCATACCCTGCTGGGCTCCCTGTTGCCAGACACAGCCTGGGAGGCCGCGCTGTGGCCCATAGGGGTCAGGGTAAAGCTAGGGAGTGGACCTGGGGGAAAGGGACACACCCGGTGCCCCCCACCCACATCTGTGTTCTGTTCTGGGGGCCATCAGGCCTGGAGGGCATGCTGGGAGCTGCCCTGGGTTAGCCTCCAGAGCCCCCATTCCCTGTCCACGTGGTACCCAGCCTGTGCTGTGTGGTCTCCTCCCTCCCTCCTGACTCAGCACCCAGCAGATACACCACGGTCTCCCTGGAACCAGACCGGGGTCTGCCCTGTGGCTGGTGTCCCAATGGGGTAGGAGATGGGCATCCCAGGAGAGAGGCTGCCGTTACCTGGGGCTTCCCGCTTCTGACACCTGGCTGTGGCCTCCCTGGCCCTCTGGATGGAGGGTCCAGCCACGTGTCCTCTGCGGCCACCCTGCTGGGGCCCGGCGGAGCTGCAGCATCCGCCTGGGTCCCCCAAGGGGACGGATGTCAGTGGTGACCAGGCAGCCTGTGAAGGCGTGTGTGTGGGTGCGGCCTTCCCCGGGCACAGGATGGTTCTCACTCCTTCCCACGCCGACAAGTCGTGCCCCCTCCGCTCTCGCGCGTCCTGTGTCTTGCATTTGGGTTTCGGGCTTGGTATTTGCTATTTTTATGGAGTCAGCCTGCCGCTCGGCTGCCTGGGAAATGCTTCCACTTCCGTTTTTGGATGGAGAAGTCTTTCCCCGTCCACAGACTCGCGAAATATTTTCAGGTATTTTCAACTGTGGCCGAACACACATCATAGAGAGCGCGCCCCTCCCCCGCTCCTGGTGCGCAGCTCAGGGGCGCGCAGCGCGTTTCCGCGGCCGCGGGACCACGACCACCGTCCGTCTACGGGGCTTTTCCATCTTCCCAAACCGAAGCTGGTGCCCAGGAACCACCGATGCCCCACCCGCCCCCGCCCCTGGGGACCTCCCCCACCGTCCGTCTCCAGGGATCTGACTGAGGGAGGGGCATGGAGAAGGGGAAGCCCGCCGAGTTTGTCTCCCTGCGACAGGCTTGTCTGACTGCTGCCCTCGAGGGTGCCCCCACCCCCCCGTGGAGCCGCACTGGCGTGTCCTGAGGAAACTTCCATTGTGCGGATGGACCACATTTTGTCCATTCGTCGTCGACGGATAGCCTGAGTGGGTCCCCTGTTTTGGGTGCTGTGGTTGACGCCACTGTGGTGGGGGTGCGTCCCTCGTGTTTTCCGTGGCTGTATCTCTAGTGGCTCTTTTGTTCCACTGGCACGTGCGTTAGCTCATGGGGTATCCATAGCGTGGAGGCGTCACAGCCCCCGGCCTCGTGGACACACCAGTCACTCTCGTCCTCGGGGTGCCCTTGGCCTCTGCCGTGGTGTTCACTACTGTATCTTCAGGCTCTGCTTCAGCGTCTCCTAGGCTGGGTCAGAATGTTCTAGAATCCCGTCTATTCCCTTTTCCAGGTTGTGTCCGGCGTTAGTCTACAAAACTAAAAAAGTGGGTTTTGTTCACAAATGTTCCTAATAGCACTATCCGTGACAGCTCACCAGCCCTCGCACAGTCACGCCGTGGTCCGTCCACACAGTGCGTCAGGGCCCTGACACGCGCTACGGCGTGGCCCCAACTGGAGGACGCGACGTTCAGAGGCCACGGGCAGAGCCACGTGGCATGGGAATCCGATTTCCGGGAAACGTGCAGAAGAGGCAGATCCAGGGACACAACGAGATCAGGGGTTGCCAGGAGCCGGGGAGGGCTTGGGGTCACTCTAGGGGGAGGAGAACTCTTCAGAACTAGATGGAGGTGCTGGTGGTTCTGCACCGGGAATGGGCTAGATGCCACTGAATCGTTCACTGTGAGGCGGTCGAGCCTACGTTATGTGGATCTCACCTCGGTTTTTTTTAAAAGGAGGTTTTACTAGAATCCACTAAACCGGCAGACTTCTGTGGGTCACTGGCTCCTGACGGGAGTCCACCTCGGGGGCCCGTGGCAGGGCTGCGCCGCCGGCAGCTTCCCCCCAGGGCGCCCGTAGTTGTGGTTCTGCCGCAGACAGACGGCCGGCGCCTCTGGCGTGCTGTGCCTGCCCGGCTCTTTCCTCTCTGCTCCCCACGTGCTCGGGGCAGCTCCCACCCAGGCCCTCAGCCGCACCGCTCAGCCCGGCCATTTTGGGATGCGGACTGTACCCTGGGGTCAGTTGTTCCTTTTTTTAAAATAAACGGACCTGGAGGAGGTGTGTGTTGGGGGGGATGCCGGCATTTTGTCCTGGCCTCAGCCCCTGGGGGCTCTCAGACGCCCTTCAGGGCCCAACCCATCCTGGCCTCCTGGGTCAGCAGCCCAAGCCCAGAGGCTCTGCCACTCTGTCCCAGCACCTCCCTGCCTGGGCTCCAGGAACAGCTGGATTCAGGCCACCAGGTCAGCAGACTGCCCTGGACCCGGGCACCTCTTGGCCATGGCCGCTCTGAGACCTGACCTGTCGCCATCCCCACGCTGCTGGATGTGGGAGCGGAGGCCACAGGGCAGCGGGGAAGACAGAGCCTTCCGTCTGGCCTGCCCGGCCTGCTGCACGCTGGCGGTCCGCCTCCAGGAGGGAGGGTGGAGGGGGGCCAGGGCCTTCCAGTCCTCTCGCAGGCGCCCCTTTCTCTTTGGGTGGCTTGGTCCTGCCGCCAGGCCCTCTCTGCCCCTGCAGCCTGCCCCCCCGCCCCGCAGCGCTCTGAGCTGCTCCCGAGGGCCCTGCCCGTTGCCGCCGCCCTGGCTGTGTCCAGTTGTCGCAGCCATGGACGGGCATGGCCAGAGGCCAAAATTCAGTCTGCGGGTCCGCCCAGTTTGGCACCGCAGGTCGGGGGCCCTGGGCTGCTGCTTCCCATAGCTCCATAGCTCCCGTAGTCCCGCCATCCAACAGCCTGGGGTGCCCGTCCTGGCCCCCCCATCCTGCGTCCTTGCTGACACCTGCCACGTACCCCAGTAGGGCCTGCTCGGGCTGGTGTGCTCCTGGGGGACAGGGGTCCCTGCTAAGCCCCCCATGCTCTGCCTCCTGGGGTACAGACCCCTGCTGGTGCTGACCTCCTAGTCAATTCCTAGTCACTTCCTCAGGTCAGGACCTTGTCTGGGGCAAACACGGACCCAGCGTGGGAGGCCTGGGCTGGCACTTTGGAGTGACAGGAACCCATGCCCATGGGACACCCCACTGGCCGGGATGGGCTGTAGGACCTATGGAGGGAGGGTCTCCTACTGGGGACCCCGGTGTGCCCGTGGGTCGTACCCACTGCTCAAGAGGCTTCGGGACCTGCCCACAGGGTGGACTGCTGGCTGGGAGACCTTCCCACTGCAGACAGGCCCTGTGTGGACAACAAAGGGGGTCCCAGCAGCCCCTCCCCAGTAAGGCCCCCTTCCTCTGTCCAGGGCCATACTTGGTGGGGGTAGCCCAGCCACTGGGGGGCCAGCGCCCTGCACCATACACACTTAGAGGTTCTATACACCCTTGCTGGGCCAGTTTCTCCTCTGTTTTGGGATAGGAGGAGCCCCGTCTGTGTGTCTGGGACAATGATCCCTGATGACCTCCCCTTCCCCACGCTCAGCACCACCTTCCCAGGGGTCTGCCAGGACCGGGTGGGTATGGGGAATTTATCTCATGCTGGGCTGGGTGCTCTTTGCCGGGGGGGGGGGGGGTTCTGGCATGAATGAGGACTGAGGGAACCCCACCTCTGGCAGCTGGTGGCACCCATGAGGCCCCAGGCCAGGCCTGTGGGTGCTCTTGGTGCACCCATCAAGGGAAAGGGCTCTGGGGCCTCTGGCAGCCACCTCTGCCTCCTCCTGTGCCCTGGCCTGCAGCCTTAGACCTTCCTTCTAGAAGGTTCCAACATCTCCTGCCCAGTGCAGCCCTTGTGCAGCTCCAGCCGCCTCGCCACAGCCCAGGACCTCATCCAGCTCGTGGGGCTCCACAGATGCCAGACGCTGCTCTGGCCACGGCCTCCGCAGTCTCATTGACCCAGGATCCTTGCTCAGGAGGGAGCAGCTGCAGGAGGAGACGTGGGGGAGGCCCAGGGAGGAGGCGGTGGTGATAGGGCACGGGAGGGGCTGGGCAGAAGGCCCAGGCAGGGGGGCACAAGCCAGGAAAGGAACGGACTCACAGCAGCCCCATGCGGTGGACGGAGCCCTGCTGTGGAGTGAACGCGCCACCCTCCAGCTTCACCCCTGCCTGCAGGGGGGAGGCGTGCAGCCTAAGAGATGCTCCGTCTCTGCCAGGCCCCAACTTCAGCCTCATCAAAGTACACGGTGACACTGGGGTGTCTGGGGCTCCCCTGGACTCTGGGCTGCACCTCGAGGGGCCGTCTTCCTCCACCCTCTGGACAGATGAGGGGACACTGGGCCCTGCGTTCACCCCGAGGACGAGACTCTCCCCTCCGGCCCAGGACCACACCCCCACTCTGCTAGACGCCGTCCTGTCTTGGGGCCTTGGCCACCCTCGTACACCCCGGGGTTCTGTTTGGCAGAGTCGGCCCTGAGCAGACCATGTGTCCAGGGGCCGCCCCGCCTGTCCCCCAGTGTCCGCAGCAGGAGCTCTGCAAACATGTCCACAGCCCTGGTGCCAGGCTCAGCTCTCCACAAGCAGCACAGATGGCCCCCCAACGCCGGGCCCCGCAGGCCTCCCTCCCAAACGTCTTGGTGTGGATGCCCAGTCTGCGTGCACCCCCATCAGGGCACCCCACGTCCGTCCGGCTCTGGCCGTGTCCCTGGCGCTCTGAGCCATCGCTGTACACAGTCGGAGCTCAGACACGGCTGGCTGGGCTGGGCGGTATGTGGCACGGCGAGCCGGGGAGGGCTACAGCTCTGTGGCCGGCTTGACCAGGTGGCCGCTGAAGGTGATACAGAGGTCGCCGTGCTCGCCGTAGATGGCGTTGTCGCGGTCACGCTGGAACACGCGCACCCAGACGGCGTCGCCGGCGCCAGTGGCAGCAGCAGGCTCTGGGTCTGCGTGACGCTGCGCTCGCTGGGCTGGCGTACGGCACGGCGGCGGCCCGCCCGTCGCACGTGATGTGCAGGTAGGTCTCCTTGTGGTCCCACGTGTGCACGCTGGGGCTCAGGAAGTAGACGCCCGGCACGGCACACAGGAAGCGGCTGGACAGCAGGTGGAAGGCCCCCTCCAGGTTCTCCAGCTCCGTGTCGAAGGGCACGGCCTGGAAGCGGTCAGTGCTGTGCAGGCCCTCCCGCCGGCCCACCGAGAAGGCCGCGCAGGTGCGTGGACACAGGGAACCCGGCGGCCCTGCCTGCCCCTTCTGGCCTTTGCGGGCGCCTGGCAGACCCTCCTTCCCGCCGCTGCTGGAGGGACCTGCGACCCCTGGTTCGCCCTTCTCGCCTGCAGGAGGAGAAGGGACCAGGGGTCAGGGCATGGGATCCGGGGTCACAGGGGGCCAGGAGAAGCCACGGCCCCAGGCTGCATCTCTTCTGGGGTCTCAACCACCCGCCGCGTGGGAACAGGAGGGGCAGCGGGGGTGGCGGGGACAGCAGGAGCTGCCAGAGGATGGTCTGCCCTGGTCTGTACAGGACGTGAGGCTGGGCGCTTGGCAGGTCCAGCTAAGGGCAGCTGCTGCGCAGTGCCCGAGGACGAGGGCTTGTGCAGCCGGCCTCCTTCCAGAGGGTCCCGGGGCCTCCCTCCAGCCTCCCCAGGAGGCTGGGCCTAGGGCACCGCTGCGGGTGGGTGAGCAGGACGGAGGGGCCTCGGGCGCCCTTCTGCCACAGCCCCCTGCCCAGGCTGCCTCGCTTCCCCTTTTCTGCAGCTGCCAGGAGCCAGAGGCGGGTGTCCAGTGTCCTGCCCACGGGGGCCCAGCTGCCTCCATCAGGGCTTTCCTGCCCCGCCCCCCAGCGTGGGGTGTCCTCACGGGAACAGGGCTGGGGTGGGGCTGCCTCCCCACAGACACTCACCTTTGAGGATGGAGATGTCCACAGTGGGGTGCACGCGGGGCAGTAACCCCCCACGGCTCCCCAGTGTGGTGGGGGTCAGCAGGGGGCCGGGCAGGGCGGCGGCACTGCACACAGGGACATTGGGGAGGCCCCAGGCTGGGCCAGGCCCCTACATGCAGCCCCAGGAAGAGCAGGAGGCCAGAGGCCACCGTCCGTACCAGAGCCTGGTGGGGGAGCAGAGGGGGTCAGCGTCTGAGGAGGAGGGGCCCCAACTGAGCCCCAAGCCCCACAGCCGCCTGGGCCGTGCCCCCTGGCCTGGGGGAGAGGTCAGGTGAGGCCAGGGACCTGCCCGTGTGGGCCTCCTGGACCCTCAGGCCCTGCCCCTGACAGACATCACCAGTGGATCCCTGCATGCTTCCCGGGAACTTGAAGTAGCCTTGGAGTCTTCTGGGGCCAGCACGGGGGCCAGCTCGCACCTGGCCCTCCAGAGCCCCCAGCAAAGGTGGCTGAGGCAGCCCCACGCTGTCCAACCTGGCATGGCCGGGCCCCTTCCCGGGTCTGCTCTGGGAGGCCCCCCACCCCTCCCTGCGGCCTTGACTCTGGGCAGGGGCAGGTTCCCTAACGGCCTGCAGTCCCTGCAGCCCGGGCCCCGCTCCTGGCAGATTCGGGGGAGCTGCCATGGGGGGTGGGCTCTGATTCAGCTCCCCAAGCCCCCACCCCTTGGCTTTTGGAGCCCTCGGGCTGCTTCGGGGACGGGCAGGGCCCCAGGGCTGGGAGGCTGGGCTCCGGGCCCGGGTTGGGTGGTGGCCTCTACCAGGCAGTTTCTCCCCGGCTGCCTAGCTGGGCAGAAGGTGGTTCCCACATCCTGAGCTGCCAGGGGAAGGAAAGCTACTTGGGAGGCTCCTCGGGTTGGAAAAGATGGTCTTTAATCCCCACCAGGCCCTGGCCTCCTGCCTCTGCCTCCCCTCCCCCGGAGACCCTGCCGGACGCCTGGCCCATCCATGCTTCTCCTGCTGCATCCGGGAAGCTCAGCCAGGGCGGAGCCCCTGTGAGGGCAGGAGTGTGAGGTCAGGGTCCTCACTCTTCCCCGTCGTGCAACCCTGCTGAAAAAAGACATGGGACCTTCCTCCAGGAAGCCCTCAGGGATTGCACCCCAGGATGGGTTTCTTCCTCTTGCACAGTTGGGGCACAACCCATTCTCAGGCTGAGCTTTCCTGGAGGGGGGACCCCTTCTGTGTACCACCTCACCCCAGAGCCCAGCAGACCCTGACCCGACCTCCTGGCTGTACTGGACCCTTCGAGCCCCTCCTCGATTCCTCGGTCCCCTCGAGGGACCTGACACGACCCTCCGGGCGATCCCACTCCATAGGTGCGCCTGTGCCTGGGGTCTCTGGCAACGTGGCCCCCTGGGCCTGCCCAGCAGGTGGTCTGGGCTGCAGCCTCCTTCCTTCTGAGGCCTGGCGGGGAGCACAGACGACCCCCTCCAAGCCCAGCCTGCCTGCGGTATCTGTGAGGACCCCCACTCACCCCCACACTCCCCGTTACCATTATGCCGTCTGCTGCCGCTGCCTGCCTGGCTGTCTCCGGTGTCACTGCCCTAAAAGCCCGTGAAAGAGCCCTTTCATGCCCACCCCAGGCGCCCACAGCTTCCCCTGGACCATCCAAGACCAACAAGCCCTGGGCCAGCGTCAGAGCTCCTGGGCGTTGCTACCTTCCACCTGGCCTGCCCTCCGCCCGCCCCCTGCCGCAGGGGCTGCGTGGGCCTGCCATGGGGGCCCCGGGGTCCTCCTGCCAGCCCTGTGCCACAGATGGGTCTGGGGGTCTGGGGTGTCTGGGACTGGTGAATGGGGCATCATTCTGTGGGCCGGCCGTTGTCCTCTGGGGTGCAGACACTTGGCAGGGAGGGAGGCCAGAGCTGAGACTAGTGGAGTTGGGTGAGGGCTAGAGGCCAATGTGGGGGGGCACGGACCGGGGCCACCATGCCTGTACCAGGCCCACCCGGTGACAGGGACACCCCCACCGTCTCTGGTGTCTGTGCCCTCCTTCCACTGTGTCATGCCAGGGTTCCGGTGTCTGGCCGAGCAGATGAGCTGTGACCCTTGCTCGGGGGGTCCTTGGGCTTAGCCCAGCCTTTCAGAAGATAAAGGGCGGGGCCTGTGGGCCGCCCCTGCCCCAGGCTGTGCAGGAAGGGGCAGGGTCTGCTGCAAGCCAGAACCCAGCCCACACCAGGGCCTGGCCTTGTCTCCGCTCTGGGTCTGGACGGCTGGACACTGGGCCTACGGATGGGCCCAGCGCCTTGGCCTCTGGACGTGGGGACATGTGTTTCCCTGGTAAGCTTCCCCTCTACCCAAGCCAGCAGCCTGTGGGGGAGGCCACAGACATGGCCTGGGGGACAGAGGACCAGGGAGGGTCAAGGACAGAGAAGGGGGGAGACAGGAGCGCCACTGCCTGTGGGGGACCCTGCGGCCAGGCTGAGGGGGCATGAGGTGTGAGGGCTGCAGGCAGGGGCAGCGCCAGCTGGAGCTCTGTCCTGGAGGGGACCGGCGGCTCCCTGTAGGGACAGCTGTCTTCACGCCCCATCGGCAGGTGGCACAGACGGAGGAGGGGTGAAGCCCGGGGCCCTGTGCCCGGACGCACTGGCCCCGCAGGGCCCCACACCTTGTCAGCGCGTGCCGGGTGCGGGCTTGCCTCTGAGACCAGGCAGCTTCTCGGGATCCACTCCTGGAGGCCCATACGCGGCCCCTCTTCCCGGCGCGGCGTCCCTGTGAGATCCTGGGCCCAGGGCAGGTGGGGGCGTCCTCACTGGCGGTCTCACTCCGGCCTCTCGGGCACCAGAGAAGAGCACAGGCCCGACCTCTGCGGTTCCCTGCATCCGAGCGTCAGTTTCCCCATCTGTAAAATGGACATCGATGGGCTCAGCAGTGGCTGGGGGCGTCCCCTGTGGCAGGTGGGAGCAGGAAGAGCCTTGCCCCTGGGGGTCTGGGCGGGTTCTGGCCCCGCTGCGGGCCCCAGCGTCCCTTGTCCTGAGCCTCCCCAGGAGATGGGCGGTCACTGTGTGTGCCTTAGGGGAGGGGACAGGGAGCTAAATTTACCCGGTATGTGGGGGGCGCCTCCAGAGGGGCAGGTGTGGGGTGGAGGTCCTGGAAGGAAGCCCAGGGTCCCTGCGGTCCGGGTGGGTCCCCCGGCTGCCCAGTGTTCACTGAGGTGCAGGTGGTCAGCAGGGGCTGAGGGTGACTCAGCAGGTGGTGGGAGGGCCTGGACAGAAATAGCCGTCCTCAGACACGCCGCCTGACATCTCCGTGACGACAGGAGCGTGGCTGAGCGTCACGGCCCCATGGGTCAGTGGCCCCCAGGGGGCCACAGCGTCACCCGCGGCAGGGCTGGGCTCCCTCCCTGCCCCCAGCCCACTGCAGCGCAGGAAGGCCGCACTGACCACCAACTCGAGCCTGGGAGGGGGGACAGGTGCCCACACGGCCCCCAATGCAGTAGCAGCGGCAGCCCTAGCATGGGGGCCCGGGGTGAGGCCAAGTGCCTGTCACCACAGACTCTACTCAATGGGGCCACGCAGGGGGTCCTGTAAGGAATGGACGGGATCACTCACTCATTGTGAGGGCGACTGTGCGGCCAGGCTGGAGGGCTCCACACACAGGGAACCCGTGGAAGCCAGGGGTAACCCAGCGGTGCTGGGGCAGCCCTGGGGCACCAGGGGGCTCACAGTAGGGAGCGGAGAGGGGCGACACTGCAGCCCCGGACCTTCTCCTTCCGTTACCCCCACCACGCTTTCCCCGCCCAGCACCCTGGGACCCCGTCCCCAGATGGATCCTGCCATGCGGGACCCCTCCGGTGGCTCTGGTGGCCTGATGCGACCCTGCTCCCCCTCCCCAGGACCCTGCTGGCCTCAGGGCCTGGGTCCACAGCTGTGCCACTGCGAGCCCAGAAGGGTCAAGGTCTCTGAGGCAGCTGGAGAACGCCAAGCTGTGTCGTGGCCTCACCTTTCCCACGAGCCTGGCCCGGCAGTGGGGGCCAGGATCCCAGGAAGCCATCCCTCAGCTCCATGGTCTGGTGGGTTGTCTCTACAGGGGGACAAACCTTCCAAACCTCGGAAGACACGACACAACCAGGGACAACGAACGGCCAGCCGGCAGCCGCTCAGCATCCACCTTGCCCCTCAGTCCCCTGGCAGCCGTCGCAGGGGGCAGGGGCTGGACACTCCCTGAGTTCTGCTCCTGAGCTGCCCTGCACGGGTGGACAGGGACTGGAAGCTGTGTGCCCGGGGTGGGGGGGGGGGGGGTGCTTGCAGGGCCCTCCTTCACGGAGGTGAGGGGTGGGGATGGTGCACGGACAGGTGGGCACTGGGAGCCCTGTAACTGCCGTACTCCAGCCTGACTCACCCTCCGGTTAAGGAGAGGCCAGATGGGACACTGGCCACCCGAGGTGACCGAGGTGCCTGAGAGTGGGGGGGCCCCCCACCCCTGGCTCAGAGTCTCCAGGCATCTGTCCTCCTGGGTGCCCTCCCAGTGTCGGGGGAGGTGGCAGGGAGAGGCCCCAGGGGTCTTATGCCTGGCACCCTGCAGCAGAAGCTCACAACCCCGGGCCCAGTCCCTCAGGGCAGAGCCAGCCAGCCGCGCAGGGACAGCGTCCAGGGCACACGGAGGAGAAAGCTGGGGCTTTGGTCATGGCTGGGGTGACGACAGCTGCGGCTTCCACAGTGGCAGGAGGGGACGCTTCCTCTGCAGGGTCCTGCGGGCGGCTCCGGCAGACAGAGGGCCCCAGTCCGAGGCTCAGCAGGCTCAGAGCTGCTGGTGGGGGGGCACTGGGTCGCAGTGAGCAATGCAGGGGCCTCTACAGTTCTCTCCGGATGGGAACCAAGGCCACCACAGGCAGCAGGAACTGCTCGGGCAAAGGCTCTGAACCCCCACCTCCCCCGGCCTGGGCAGGAGGTCCGTAGGTAAAACCCACCTGCCCAGGCTGTGGCACCTCCACCCAGAACCACGCCGACAAGTAGAAAGCTAATACGCTCTTTATTTGGGGGCCCGGGGACAGTCCCTGCCCACGTCCAGCCAGGCCGCAGAGGTACCCGCCATGGTGCCAGCCCCAGTCACTGGTAGCCGGCCAGCTGCAGGACGGTGGGGTAGCGGGCACGGTGGGCCATGCACTTCTGGCGGTCGATGAAGAGGCTGTTGGTCTTGACAGCCAGGTCCTTCTCCAGGTGCATGCGCGTGTCCTCCAGGTTGCGTAGTGACTGCTCGGCTTCTAGAAGCTTCTCCTTCAGCGCCGCAAGGGACGTGTTCAGCTCCTCCACCTCACTCACCAGCCTGGGGGGCCGGGGAGGAAGGCCTGAGCTGGGGCCTCTAGGCTGGGACAGGCAAGGCCTGGGAGCCCTGGTGAGGGGTCCCAGGCCAAGCTGCAGGGCCACAGGAGGACCCGAAAGTCCAAAGGGAGACCCGCCAGCCACGTGGAGTGGGCCGGGCCAGGATGCCACATGGGCCCTGCGGCAGGTGGGAGAGGGCGTGCAGTGTGCTCTCAGCCCGCAGCCCCACAGGGCCACCGCGCTGGGCCTGAGCTGGGACTTCTGCTGCCACCCCTGTCCCCCGCCCAGCCGGAAGAGCCCACATGGGCAGTACTCCGTAGGGCTGAGCTCAGTGACACCCGCCGCAGTTAGGTGTAATGCTGGCGGAGCGTGGAGGCTCCTGGGTCCCGGTGTTCCTGGAGCCTGGAGGCAGGCTGGACGGACCCCTGGTGCTGCCCAAGGCCCCAGTCCCCTGCATGTGCTGAAGGCAGGGAGGGAGCCATGCCGGCGGGATTCTGCCAACAAAGGCAGAAACACCAGAGACCCCATCCCGCCTCGGCTTTGAGCCAGGGCCGAGGGGCCACCCGTGCCATGGGGGGTCTGGATGGGGGGCCTGAGGCGGCGTGGGCATGGAGGCCAGGGGCCTCAGGGGCTCAGCCTCTCAAACCCTGAGATCCCTTGCCGGCAAGACTGCACAGCACAGGGTGAGGCAGGAAGTGCCACGCTGTCAGTGGCACTCAGTGCCCTGAAAGGCACATCCGCGTCTAGTTGTGTGGGCGGGGGGCAGGGTGTTTGTGGGGCCCAGAGGCCAAGGGGGCCGGGCTGAGGGGGACACAGGCAAGCCTGTCCTCAGGACTGCCCCCGAGCCACAGCCCTGGCGGGCACCTGAACTGCGCGGCATCCCGGCACAGCTCCACGTTGGGCCTGCGTGAGCGCTGGTACAGGCGGGTCTGAGCCACCTTCAGGGGCGCCTCCTTGTCCTTGATGGCCTGCTTCAGCATGGCTATGTTGTGCTCCTGGTCTGTGATCTCCCGCAGCGTCTGCACACAGGACAGTCCCTGGGGGAGCTAGCGTGACCCCCACCGCACCCCCGGCCCTGTCCACGGACTCGGGGGGACATATGGAGGCAGGAAGATGTGTTCGGCCCCCTCGGCCCCACCAAGGGCACCCAGAGGGCTGGGGTGGGGCTGCAAAGCCTGCTGTCCAGCAGCTCTGGCCTGAGCGCCCCCCCGCCCCCACCCTGCTGGTCACTGGGCCCCAACCCTGCTGAAGAACCAGAGAGACATGGCGGCAGCAAAGGGCACCCTGAGAGCCCAGGGTCAGAGAGCCCTAGTAGGCCTGGCCACCTCCTGCCACCTTCCCTCTTGCTCTTGCCTGACAGTGTCACCTGGTTTTGTATTGGCTTAGTGAGGGCCCAGGGAGGAGTGGGTGCCTGGAGCCTGGGGTCCCTCAGGCTGCACAGGATGGAGGACGACGGCCCGGTCCGGCCAGGTTGTGACCAAGCCAGGGGCGGGGCTGGTCCACAGGGAGCAGGGGTGGGTGCGTTGTGGGGGTGGGGGGTGGGGGCTGGGTACGGGGTCGGGGCCTGATGGGGCGGTACCTGGGCGGGGTCTGGGTGGGACGAGGGACCGGACGTGGCCTGGGTGGGGCTGGCCCTGGTGGGGCCTGGGGGCGGGGCCTAGGGGCGCGGATCGGGCCTGAAGGGGCGGTAGCTGGGAGAGGCTGGAGTAGGGCGAGGGACGCGTCGTGGCCTGGGTGGGGCTGGGCCGGGACGGGGTCAGGGGCGGGGCCTTACGGGGAGGGGCCGGCCCTGGGCGTGGTCTGGTGGGCGGAGCCTTGTGGGGGGCGGGGCGGGGCGTGAGGCGGGGCCGCGTCTGGGCGTGGTCTGGCGGGGTGGGGCGGGGCCGGGGCCTCACCTTGTGCAGGTGGTTCTCCAGCTTGTGGCGCGCGTCCTCCAGCTCCTCACAGCGGCGCTCGAAGGCCAGGTTCACCGCGTCGCACTGCAGCCGCAGGTCCTCGGCCGTGTCCCGCAGGATACAGTCGACGAGCACCCGCAGGTTGGCCGAGGCCAGGCGCTCCCGCTCCGCGCGGTGCAGGTTGTCCTGGGTGAACCCGGCCCACGTCTCGGGCGTGGAGGCGCTGCGGGCGGGCACGGATTGCCGACGGCTCCTGTGACCCGGCCCTCCCATGCGCCCCGAGACCACTGCGCCCGCGCGAGTCAGCACCTCTAGCGCGGCCCCGCGGCCCTGTGCCCCCCGCGCCCCCCGCGCCCCACGCGCCCTGCGGCGTGCTGGCTGCGCGCCCCCTGCCGGCCGCCCGAGGAGCTGCTGATAACCCTAAGCCCCCGGTGAGCCGGGGGTGCGGGGTGCTTGCGCGGGGGTCCGGGGTGCTTGCGCGGGGTTCCTTGCTCGCCCGCCCAGCCTGTGGGCAGAAGAGCTGCACACAGGGCCCTCCGTGCGAGAGCGTCAGGGGCGGGGGGCTGGGGGACGGTCCCCAGCACAGGGCGCAGGAGCACAGGCACGGGGTGGGCACCGGGGTTTGGAGGGGGCTCCCTGGGAGGGGCTGGGGCGGAGGTGGCCCACCTCTCCTCGAACTTGGCCGAGTGCGGGTGGAACTGCACCTCCGTGCTCTGGTTGTGGTAGAGCGCGCACGTCTGGTCGATGTTGTAGGCCTCCACCTTGTCAGACCAGTCCATCTCACACGTTTCCTTGTGCTCTCGGTTCAGCCTGGGGCGGGCGCGGTCTGTGTTTGTGGAGGGGGCACAGGGCACCACCCCAGGAGCAAGCACACATCCCCTTCTCCACTGTGAACCAGTCCACCTCATCTGTCCAGGACAGGGGTCCTCGGGCCACCCAGGCTCTGCCTGGCCAACAGCGTCCAGGAGCAGATGTTCCCAGCCCTGGAAGGCTGGCCTGGGTTCTGGATGCCCAGACCCCCAGGCCATGCAGGAGTCTGCACCCCCACCAGTTGCCCCTACCTCCCCCGTCCTCCTGGCTGAGACCCGGGACAAGACCCCACCTCTCTGAGACTCCCAGCCTGCTCACCCCAACTTCCTGCCCAGAGCCAGCCCAAGGGGTGAGGAGACACCCTGAGGAGACAGGGTAGGCGTGCAACCACCGAGACCCACCGGATCTGGTTCACGGCCTGTGTTATGGTCCTTTTGAGGAGCTCCTGAATGTTCCGGATAAGCTCGGCTTCCTGGGGAAGAAGACCCCGCTCCCTGGTGAGGATCGGAGGAGGGCCAGGCCGGTGTGGGCCCATGGTCAGCCCCTTCAATGCCTCGGCCAACACCTGGCCCTGGCTGTACTTGGTTGGGCCCCACAGCCAGCTAGTCGACCCCTATCTCTTTCCCGGGAGGCTGGAGGGAGGAGCCCCGCTCTTTTTCACTGGGTTTGTTCTGGGCTTTGGAATATTCTGTTTGGTGTGGCACAGTGCAGGGTTTTTTCTGGGGGGCACTAGGGCCAGCTCCCACTCACCTGGCACCCACCCAGCAGCCCCTGGGCTCTAGGGGCCATCCCTGCCGCCTGCCCCCAGGCAGGGTGGCCAACAACGCCCTGGGCCCCTGGGCCCCTGGGAACCATGTGCCCTCCCGGCAAGGGCCCTGGGCTCAGAGAGGCCCTCTCTCCTCTTCTTGCCTTTCAAGGGGGAACCTGTGTGCCTTTCTGCTCCTGCGATGGCCCTGTTTTCTGTGCACAAACAGTCTGCTACCCCCATTTGGACTTTTACCTCCATCTGGCTCTAAACCCAGGGTCTGTCCCCAGGTCTCTCTCCCTGTGCCTGGACCATTGTTCATGTTTTCACATTGGGAAGGTCGGGTAACGCTTAGGGAGGGGGAGGGGGTGTCTCTTGGTTAAGGGCCCAGGGAGCTGCAGCCAGAGCCCTGGAAGCTCGTTGAGCAGCTGAGTGTGGGGGTGAGGTGGAGGGACACCGAGGAGGGCATTGGGGCTGGGAGAGGGGAGACTCAAGGTTCTGGGCTGAGCCTGGAGCACGCAGGGGGTGCCCCGCATCTCCCAGGAACGCCCACAGCCTGCAGTTCACAAGTAAGGTCCCCAGGATCTGAGAGGCGCTTGGAGCAGAGGACTGGCCTGGGTCATTCCCTGATGCTTGTGAGGCTCCCCCAAGGACAGGTCCTGCTGAGCTTGGAGTGGGGAAGCCTTGGGGTATGAAAGTGACCTCCATCCCACCCTCACCATCAGCACCTGAATACTGGGCTGGGCCTGGATTCCCAGCACAGGCATCAGGGAGGGGGAGCTACGGTGCACTTGGCCTTTAGGAGCTCAGGCTCAGGCTTAATTTGCATGAGCTAGGATGCCCCAAGGGTCTACCCGACTAGCCAGCCCTGTCTGCGTCCCAGACCTCAGGTTCCCCCGCACTGGGCTCAGCTCAGTCCCTGTCCCATCCATGGGGTGTATGCTGGGGGGCATCAGGCTTGTGGATGGACCTCGCCTCTGTGGCCTTGGAGTGTCCCATCCTTAGGCAAATGTAACCTGACACACATCCAGGTGTGAATTCTGTTCCCCTCACCCCAGGATGAGCAATGATTGGGGTGGGGGCAGCGCAGCGGCCCTGGACGTGGGCTGGGGTGAGTGGATGTGAGGTCCAGCTCCAGCCCCCGTAACTGCTCAAACCCCTACACTGGGACCTGTCCCCATGCCATGGTGTCCCCAACTCAGCAGGTCCAAACTGGGGCCCACTTTGCAAGGAGCTGAGCCTCCCCCAGTGTCCACTGTGAGCACTGGGCTCTGGGAAGGTCAGACTGGGCACCCTTCCGGGGTCAGGGCTGGCGCCTCCGTC